GAGAAAAGTCTCTTGCCCCTTCCGAGAATTGAACGTCGGTCGCCCAGCCGGCAATCCATCGTTATATCCACCGCGCTATACCGACTGTACCTAAGTAACGCGACCCTTAAGAATGATTCAAACCGAAAATGTGATGGGATTTTAGTGCAGGTTTACCGTGCCGCATCTGATTGTTGTCGTCAGGTAGTTCGGGCGCTGCTACTTGCGGACGGACGGACAATAGGAAATCAACAGGTGGTTCTGAAGGGCACCTAACAAGGTCCGNCTACACTGGCTACTTGGACGAAGATCTAAACTAACTCTAAACAACAAGCTCCTCATTTACAAAATCATCATCAAACCTGTGTGGACATATGGCATTCAACTATGGGGCTCTGCTTCGAACACCAACATTGCCATCTTTGAGCGATTTCAGTCTAAAGCTCTGCGTCTGCTAACGGACGCCCCTTGGTATGTCCCCAATGCCATCATCAGACACGATCTACAAATACCTACAGTTCAAGAAGAAATCAGTCGACTAAGTTCGAAATACAGATCACGGCTCAACATGCACATTAACCAAGAAGTGTCTCAACTCTCTGCACCCCCGCCTCTCCGCAGACTGAGAAGACATCTTCCACATGATCTCCCAAACAGATTTCTTGTATAATGTAGTATTATTATTTAGATCTTAAGTCCCTAGTTTGTAAGTATTCTCCCACAAATCATACCAGACTTTATCTACTGCACAAGGAGCACCGCTAATGAGCGGTATTCTACACGTTCTTTTTCTTTCCTTTTCACATCATTATGCTAAATGTATTAACTCAGATTGCATAATAAATATGGGAGTCTCAAACAAAAAACAAAAAAAAAAAAAAAATTTGCACATTGTAACCCTATAGTGTCATCTGGAGCCGTGTTTTGACAACGTAGTCGTCTCTGAAATCCCCTTGGCCTTGAACAGGAGCCACGAATGCAACATTGTACCCTGCATAAGCCATAGGACTTCGGCAGCCCATGAAATAAGAAGGCGAAAAATTAAAATTGGAAATAATTTACTGTATTATACCTAAATTAACAGCAGGAAGGTACCGAGTAGATTGGCATAGCGGTAACGCTTTAGACTCGCATTCGGAAGGTTCTGGGTTCGGAACTCGGCCCAGACATCTCGTATGCTGATTTTCGTGGTTTTATTCAAACTTTCCGGGCAAATGAGCTGCAGCCTCAGGGTGAATGTAGCGCCCAGTAATCTGGAGATCGTTACGTTACAAAGTTACTAGATCTTGTTCTTAACGTGAGATGGGATCTCCAGAATTCCATACCAAGCTCTCACTGAACACACAGGGCGTTTCTTCCGTAAGGGTTCCTACTCGAGGGTGACGTACCCTTGAGGAAGTTTCCACAAATTACCACATGAAGAGTAAGATTTTCTGGGTTGTAACGCCGTGTAGTTGAGAGACGAACGTTCGAAAGAACATATCGCCTCCATCTTCAAGGTCGAAGAGTCAGCTACGCGAGGAAGAAGCTTACCGCTTGCTGCTGCTGGTTTCTTGCGTGGCTTAACTCTTTTACCCTGAAGATGGAGGCGATAAGTTCCTTCGAAGCGTTATTCTCTTTCCGAACTACACCGTGTTACAACGCAGAAGACCGCATTCATCATTCGTACCGCCATGAAAACCCAAATTCCAACAGAAATTTCCACACGATTTAATACTCCGGCACCACTGAGTTAACCTGCTCGGTACCTTGTGGCTGAATGTCCATGGAAAACAGTCGCCTTCTGCAGCGTGATTATGTTCTAGACAGATCACCAGCAGCGGTGCGAAGTGTGAACTGGACACAGCTTGAAGTTGCGTCACACCGAAGCCGTGTGATGGCTTATCTAATGTTACGTGGTGATCTCTGAATTATCATTAATTGGAAAATGGTTTCGAAGTAAGTGTTGTCATCTGTTTTAGGGTAGCAGAGCACCGCGGATGATTCAGTTACAATAGCCAGTCTTATACCCTGAAGATGGTGGCGACACATTCCTCCGAATCAGCTGTAAACACGTACCAGAAGAGAACACCGGCGAGTGATATTCATGTGTTGTGATGAATTATACCGCCTCATGCCTGTGGCCATCTGAATTATAGTGCTGAATTACTCACCATAAAGAGCCCCAAATATTATTATGCTCGTCAAATCACGAAAGATGGAATGGGATGGGCGTGTAACACGAATGGGAAGAAGATGGAAGTGATGGTTGTGAATGGTTAAGGAAAGAAATTACTTGAAATACACAACTGTAGTTGGGTGGGTGATATTAAAACGAGTCTGGNACTGTTTTTTCTTTTATAATTAACTTTGACATGTTCTACATCCTGTGGCATGTTTGTCAATAACGATCTATGGAACAAATAAAAAGTGAAAAAAAAAAAGTGACAATTAGCAGGCTCTTGTGAATACGCTTATGAACCTTCTGAATTTGTTGACTAGCTGAGCAGCTACAAGCTTCTCGAGAGGGATTCTGCTCTTTGGAACTATGAGTAATTAAGGCGGGCTGTTATGAACAAGGTAATGAACCATGGGGTTCCATAAAATGCAGGCGATTTGTATACTAACTGAGAAACTATTGTCTCAAGAAGGAGTGGTGTCAGTCAGTCAGTCAGTTTCCTCAAGATTCACGGAACTGAGTGTAGACAGGGTATATCGGTTATCTGTGAAGTTCTCCAGCCTGTCGGACTGCTTCGATCTCGAGCAGAAATGGCTTTTTCAGAACTGGTTCAGTAGAGCAGCCGGGGGAATACCCAACACATACGGTAATCAGGGCTGGAAATGAGGGTAGATGAGGGGCGACACCGTCTGGTTTGTTTCAGGGCACTTCATTTTCAGCAAGATATTTCCAGAGCTCCCCTCCCCGACCCATATTTGCGGCCTCCTTTTGAAGCAAGGTTTACCCTGACTCTCCCCCCCCCCAAAAATTACGTCAGTGGCTCGCACTTTACGGCTGCCCAGGTGACGGGGGTGCAGTCCAACAACCTGCCCTCTCTGCAGATGCAAATCATGTAACAGAAAAGAACTCAAATTTGTGATATTAATTTTTGAAATGTGATTTGTTTAGTTGATTTTGTATTGAGTGTATGTTTTCATTTGCCAATAAATATCTGTACGGGTGTGTAATTACTGCTTTACTCAGCTCTCCTGCATTTTCTTTGTAAGTTTTAGTAATCATAGGGCATGGAATGGTTTGTAGGAACAATATTACGCTTGTGGTATTTTTTTATTGCTAGTGGGGTGGGATTAAGTCCCTTGTACTGCGGCCACTTCTGGCCTATTGTACCAGCCCCAGATGATAGGTGAGGGTGATTGTGGAGCAATTGGTGGAATGAAGATTAGCAGAGGAAACCGACGTACTCGGAGAAAGCCTGCTCCAGCGCCACTTTGTCCACCACAAATCCCACTTGACCAGACCCGGGATCGAACCCGGGCCGCCAGTGGGAAGCCAGTGACTAACCGCTTGAGCTATGGCGCGACCCTACGTTTGTGGTAAATATGGGTTCGATTTATGACGGCTCTCCAGGAAGCCTGCCAGCTTCCGGTCACGGTAACGTTTACTCACTGTCGTTGAATCAAAGTGACACCAACCGTTACTAATTTGCAGCGAAACTGATAGTCGTCAGCAAATTCTCCGCGTTATATGGGAGCCGAAGGTTCAATAAACTCTTCCCGAAAGATCGAAAACCACATCAGTTCCAGTCCACGTTTATCACAAGGTCGTAAAAATATTGAATTCCATAGTTTACCCCCCCCCCCAGTCCCATAATTTAATTGTGCTTTGTGTGTCCTGATAGAATACACGCAGTTTTCCGCACAGCGTCCACTTGACGCAGCTGCTGTGGAGTAACACCGAACATTTCGACTCAGCAACCGAATCTGGTCAACATAATACAAACCTCTGCCGCTAGATTGCGAGCAACTAGCGACCCGTTCACCGATGCGTCGTCGAAACTCCCGTAGAGCGCGTGTGGGAGCGAAAGGATGCATGGTTGAATGTAGAGGAAGACCTATAAATTATGGGGCTAATAAGGGACACCCACCGCGGCGGCCCGAGTTCGATCCCGGGTCTGGTCAAGTGGGATTTGTGGTGAACAAAGTGGCGCTGGAGCAGATTTTCTCCAAGTACTTCGGTTTCCCCTGCCAATCTTCATTCCAGCAATTGCTCCACAATCACCCTCACCTATCATCTGGGGCTGGTACAATAGGCCAGAAGTGGCCGCAGTACAAGGGACTTAGTCCCACCCCACTAGCAAAAAAAGAAATAATAAGGGACAGAGCAAACTGGCATAGCGTTAACACTCTAGACTTTATTAGCGAGGTGCCCTCTTCGAATCCAACCCGGCACACCTGCTATCCTGAATGTTTTTAGCGTTTTTCTCAGTCCCTCCTGGAAAATGCCGGAGAAGGCGAGGACCACTTCCTTCCAAATTGTCTCCAATTCGTCTCTCGTCCTATCGTAGGACGTCAGCTCCTGAGTGCGCCGTTAAATGTGGAACAGCAGCACTCACTCCTTCTCAGTCCGGTCGTGTCGTTTTGTGTTTATTTGAAGACGCTGTTTAATTACAGTGGATCGTACAGAGATAGGATGAGGTGGCATGAACTGGACTCATCTGGCTCAGGATAATGACCAGTGGCGAGTTCATGTGAACTTGGTTAATGAACCTTCGGCTTACATAAAACGTTGGGAAATTCTTCAGCAGCTGAGCGACTGGTTGCTTTTCAAGGTCTCACCTCTATGGGGTTAATTTCAACTCCATTTGAAATGTAGCATTATGATGAGTGGTGAATAGATATGGATTTGGAAGGAGGCTCTCGTGGCCGAATGTATTATCAGGTATGTGCTGCATCACATTTCCAAATCATAAAAACAAGGTAGAATTTGGAGAGGTTTTGTTGTTCTTACTAGAGGACCTCCCCGTTGTGGGAGTTCAGGTGATGTGAGCAGAGTGCATACAGTTACCGCTGCGGTAGGCTTGCTGCTGTGTGTGTTCCATAAAGCAGTTATTTATTCATTCAATAAAGTTACATAGTAATTAAACAGATCGTGGCCTGCCGTGAGATGCAGCCACAAGCAGTCAATGTTGAAGGCGTCGCTGGATGAAACATGACGTCAGCGTTAAACGACGTCACGAGTTTCTTCCGTCGCAGGCAGCACGTCTTAACGGCCCTAGACGTTCATTTGTCTGATGCAGTGTTTCTCAAACAGTGGGACTTGACGTTCAGCTGGGTGGGACACGCGTGGTGGACTGGGGCGCTGCTGAGTGCAGCGGCGCATGCGCACTGGTCTCACTTGGAACGCTGCCACACACGGGACCCGTGAGAGCGAGCAAGTGCTGACAACTTCCTCTCTCCATCAGATAAACCGGATCCTGTAGTTCACTGACTGATGTCAGCTACATGTAACGGACCCAACTGAGTAGATGCTATCCCAACTTTTAACCTGAGGATGGAAGCAGAGTGCCAGAAGATGAACAGGGCGCTGCGACGCTGTCGGTGTGCAGCGGCGGCAAGTGACCGGATGCTGAGAGCGGTAACGCGTCTGGCCTGTATTCCGGAAGTACCCGATAATAACCTTGGCCTGGACGTGAAGTATCCTGGCTCGTATTTCATGGCTTTCCTCGGTCCCTCCAGGTGAATATCTGCAGAGTATCTCGAAATAGAAACTACCTCTTCCTTCCCAGTCGTTTCAAGTTCACCTATTGCCATAATCCATTCACGAGGTTCGACGCTAAGCAACGACCACAGTTCATACAGCATCTTTTAGCAACCTACGATCGGGCCTCTCTACTGCCCGGTACGATAATTAGTGAATAATGAATTTGAGAAGATTTGGAAGGAAGCGGCCCTGGCCTAGAACGTCGCATTATCCCTGAATTTGAAGGTAGAGACTGAGGAGAACGTCGGAAACCCTCAGACAGAACATTCCGTTACCGAGCCGACACTTGAACCCAGGATTTCCCGGCTGCGAGGCAGAACGTCTAACTACTTGGAAGCTACGGCTGTTCCTCGTAATATAAAACCAGATTTACACTTTCTGAAGACGTTGGCATTTGTGCGCGTGCGTGCTGCCTGCTGCAGATGCTCTGTTAGTTCTCTGGGAAGATGGCTCTGAAGGGAAACTTGAGGAAGAACTTGTTAAGCTGTCCCCGCAAGAATTTGTCCCATCCCTCATCCGCGTAGGGAAGCAGCTCCTTGTAGATGGTCGGCCAGTAGAGGTTTGCGAACCGCAGGGCAGCTTTGTCTGGAACAGGTGACGTCATATCCTGTTAGTTGTTCCCACGTCAAAGCGCCACGATACCCCCAGCTCCCCCTAAACGTCTCGATAGAAATAAGTAGAAATTATTTTCTTTTCGATCCTTGTAACCTGAGTCCTGCGGGCAATTCATCTTAAATATAGCTTAACTATAGGATAGCGCTGTCTCGCCTTGGAGATCCTGGCGCCGTCCATGCGGTACAGAAGTTTCCCGCTCTTAACTTTCCCAGGCAGTGCCCATTTGCCTTTCTGGTGAGAGCAGGTTGCTGAAGAGAAGTAGCGTTGGGAATTGAAGAAGATGGTTCCAGGTTGCACGGTGTCATGACCCAGAAGAGCACAGTGTGAACCTTTCGCCGCAGTAAGCGCGGCAGATCTCAGTGAACCCTTCCGGTCAGCCACTGCCACCTTCTGGGTGTTGCACGGAATGGGAGCCCCGGGAACATACCCTTCACTGCATGACATAGATGGCGGAGTAGTTGCCGCCCGGTCGCGGCGAGAGCGCTTTGACACAGCTCACAATAAATGGGACGGCAGAACATGAAAGATAAACACGACACAGGTGAAAACTGCTAATAAACGGAAACGAGATGCATAGGAAGAAAAAAAAAACACTGAGAAAAAAAGAGGCCACAGAAGAATAAACGGAGCTAACTAACTCCATGCAGCTGAGCCCTCCTTCAGAAGCCTTCAATTCTGCAGCTACTCAAGAACTTCACCAGCATTTTATGTAACCCGAAGGGTCATTACCTCATTCACAAGAGTCCTACACTGGTTCCTATTCTGAGCCAAATCAATTCAGTCCATACCAATCCAATTTAATATTACCCACCCACTTACGTCTTGGTCTGGCTAATGGGCACTTTGCTGCTGGCTTTTCCTCCCAACCATACTACATGCCCTGCCGTCTCATTCTTTTTTACTTGATCATTTCAATTGTAACTGCCAGAGAGTGCACGTTATGAAACCCCTGATTATGTAGTTTTCCCCAACCTCCCGTCACTTCACTTCTCAAATGCCCTCAGTCTGTATTCCTCCCTTAATATCAGAGACGAAGTTTCACACTCGTACAGGACCGCAGGCAAAATTATTGTTTTGTATATTCTAATTTTTACGTGTTTGGACAGCAGACGAGAAGACAAAAGTTCTGCGCTGAATGGTAGCAAGTATTACGCGAATTTAATCGCTTGTTAATGTCTACTGTATCAGGTTTGGATTTGTTACGGTCATTCCCACATATCTGAACTGTGCCACATTTTCAAAGAGATCTGTTATCTGTCTTCATGTCTTCATGATTTTGCCCTACATTTTTGTTACGAGACAGCAACATACTTAGTTTTCTGTGTGTTGAATTCTAGACCAACCTCCTTAATGACGTAAATTAAAGTCTGCGTGTTTTTTATGGTATCTACATTATCACCCAGTAGATTCACATCGTCAGCATAGACCAGCAGCTGATGTGTCCCATTTAATTTCAGTCCCACCCGGTTTTCCTGATCCCTCCTAATGGCATATTCTAAGGCAAAGTTGAAAAGCAGTGCCGATAAAGCATCTCCTTGTTTTACACCATTCTGGATAGGAAAATTATCAGACAAATGTTTACCAATACANGAGTCAACAGACGTTTCGGAGGAACATATCGCCCTTATAACATATCGTTATATCCCAGAAGAATATACTCCTGGGCCAAAAAATAATTATATACAGAGTTTTATAGGGTTCAGCTATGGACACATCCACAAAGTTGAGCCGAAATGTAATGCTCGGTGTGTAGTGCGATATTCTCTCAACAGATGGTGCTAGTCACATGAATTCCAGAGCCACCTTATCGAATGGCAGGAAAGTCAAAGAAAATGGCGGCAGAACGGTGTGTACATATTTTCTGGCCCACTTTATATATACGAAGGAAAATCGAAAAGTCTTTGCCCTAGTTTTTTTTTCAGCCACAACAATACACGTACAGGGAAATCAAAATACAGACAGTGTTCTAAGTACCTTTGACTATTTCTCCACATAATCACCACCCCAGTTGAGGCATTTGTCCCATCGCACCACTAGTTTGGAGATGCCGCTCTTGTAGAATTCTGCTGGTTGAGCGCAGAACCACCGCCGGACAGCGGTTTTCGTGCTGTTGGAAATGGACCTCTGGCTTGCCAGGAACTTCTTCAGTGGACCGAACACGTGGTAATCACTGCGGGTGAGGTCTGGACTACACGGTGCATGCTCCATAATCTCCCATCCCAATGACTGCAGTCGCGTCCAGGGATTCACATGGACGTTGTGATTCTCCTCCATGAGAACGCCAGGCCTCATGTGGCAAACAGGACCGCTGCCCGACTGCAGTCATTGGGATGGGAGATTATGGAGCATGCACCGTATAGTTCAGACCTCGCCCGCAGTGACTACCACGTGTTCGGTCCACTGAAGAAGTTCCTGACAGGCCCGAGGTTCATTTCCCACAACACGAAAACCGCTGTCCGGCGGTGGTTCTGCGCTCAAATGGCGGAATTCTACAACAGCGGAATCTCCAAACTAGTGGTGCGATGGGACAAATGCCTCAACTGGGGTGGTGATTATGTGGAAAAATAGTCAAAGGTACTTAGAACACTGCCTGTATTTTGATTTCCCTGTATGTGTCTTATTGTGGCTGAAAAAAATAGGGGGAAAGATTTTTTGATTTGACGTCGTTGCGCAGTTTGGTGTCACCATAGCAAAGAACGGTGATCATTAGCACATCGCCTGGAGAGAAGTTATGCCGTGGGTCTCGAACGAGCGAGGAGTCGTTTGTTTCAGTGTGTTTCGTGATAAAAATATGTGAAGTGTATATTACATACAGGACACGGTTTACGATTGACTGTTTGTGCTCGTTATTCGTGGAGATTGCTCCTATCGTCGACCTCGACACGTAGGAGAGCGCGGGAGAGGTTCATATACTTCCCGTTGGCTCAACGTGTGTACTCACCGAGCTCATCGTTGCCTGTGAACAGGTTCGAGGCGTAGACCTGCATATCGCCCACCTCCGGCAACACGTTCACGTGGCGCACCTTCAGGTACTCTTCGCCGTCAACCGTGACCAGATCACCGCGCACAGTCCAAGTGCCTGTCAGGTCCCCTGCAAATCAAAAGACTCACTGAGAGTGTAGTGGATACCACAGCGTCATTTCTGCGGCGCCGGTAACTCGACGTTTCGTCATGTCACCGAGCGGGTGCTTATCTGAAGCTTTCAGTGATACACTAATTCTCGGTTTGACTGTGACGCCACATAGCTACAGCCGGTGCAATGGGCCGGTGTAGCGACTCGACAGAGAGATCGCGGTTCGATTCTCGGCAGGGACAAGAGGTTCTTCTTTTCTCCGCAACGTCCAGACCGGCTCCGAGGGCCACCCAGCCACCCATACAATGGGTACTTGGGGCTCTTTCCCCGGACCTAAAGCGGCTGGGCGTGATCCGTACACTCACGTCAACTTATTGCCGAGATCAAGCATGGTGGAGTTATACCTCCACTCCCCATACGTCTTCATGGAGTGATGTTTTGCCTAACTAAACCCAGGGATATATTTGCTTTTCTGAGTTCGTAAATATGAAGTGGAAAGTCATGCAAGGAAGAGGTCGTGGCCTAATGGAGGTAACATGGTTGAATGGGACTGACTAGACTGAGGAAAACAATGACAATTCTCAGGATAGACAGCGTCCCAGCCGAGATTCGAAGCGAACACCTCCAGAATATGAGTCTAGAGCATTACCGCTGACAAACCTGCTCGTTTATATTATTTGAGTGACTGAGTAAAATCGCGAAATGCCTCTATCGTGTCAGCCGGTCTGTGGGCAGAGACTTGAATTCGAGTTCTCTGAAACAAAGAGCAGTACTGCCAACCGATCGACTGTGACATTCACTCAGATAATATTAAAATATGTGATAGAGAAACAGGGTGTCACACTGTATAGCGGATTAATTTGGTTCAGGATATGGCCCATTGGCGGTTTTTTGTGAGCACGATAATGAACTTTGTGGTTCCAGATAAGGTGAGGAATATTTTGACCAGCTGAGCAACTGTAGCTTCTCAAGAAAGAACAGTAGTAGCACTGCAGAAGTGCTCGCAAACCCTGTCTTGAAGTTCTTCCTGGTTGTCGTCAGTCACTTCAGCCAGTCTGTCAGGATAGTCCACGGCAGTTTCCTTACAAATCCCTTGCGATTCACCGTGTCCCCTTACTTGCTGCCCGACGCTGTGTTGTATAGCTACCGATAGCTTCATAAAGGAGCCCTCCAAACAAATCATCGTGACATAGCCCATTTTTGCAGTGCCAGTCAGTTCGTATGATTGTTTCAGGTAACCCCCTCCCCTTTGTCACGTTACTATACTTGGGATAACAACAGTGCCTGGGGTAGTCCTTACGCATGCTGATGTTGTAGACGCCCTTGCCGCCGATGGGGAAGCTAATGATTTTCCCCTGCGTCTTGTATTCACCCTTGATGACCAACGCAGGAATCCGGAAATCGACTTCAATGACCATGTTTGACGGGTCGCTCAGGTTCGCCCTGCAGGAAATAAGCAACATGTAGCCTCTGAGTGTCACAATCCAGTGGTAACAATACGTACCACGCTATTTAACATTGTATATCCATTGTCACCGGGTTAGAACCATTTACAGTGAAATAAATAATAATAATGATAATAATAATAATAATAATAATAATAATAATAATATATTCAGCGACTGTTGGTCTTTGTTATGGAGACACAGTGTGTTTTCTGCGATGCAGAAACTGATATTTTGGATACCCAGATAACGTCCAGGCTCCGTGTGAAGATGGATATATGGTTTCTCCGAGACCAGATTATACGATGCCATAGCCCAGGAGACCAAGATACGGAGTGTAGCCCCCTTGTTCTCATGCTGCATCACGATATACAGAGTGTTCAATGTGCCTCGCATCACAGGAAACCACAGAATCTGTTCCAAACTTGTCTGTGTTTCCGAGGACATCGCGGAGCAGGTAGGCGTCCACACTAGTGCCACTGGTCTGCTCTGTCAGGTCTCAATGTCACCTGTGAGGCAGGAAACTTCGGGCACCTTGTATACTGATCTTCCGAGTCTTATGAAAGGAAGCGTCTATGCGCCATTTGTCGCTAGGAACATGATTCTGTCTTCTCCAGTGTCACTGTTCGCCCCCTTGTGCTATACTGAGGCCGCGGAAAGAAGTTCCATGGGTCGACTCCCTCCACAACTCACTTCCCCACTCCAGTCGTCCAGCACGTGTTCACACGAATGTTGGCAGTGGCAGCTTTCGCTAGTGAGACGCGATTTGGGCTGGTTGTCACAAGCCACCAGAGAGGGGGGAACCTCGTCACAGCCACCCACGGGTCTTGTTTCCGTGGCCTCAGTGTGACTGCTACAAGCGACCGACCTGAAGCTCAGAATGTCAACGTCCTTGAGACCGCGGGTTTCGCTGTTCCTGATGATCATTTTCACGTCCGCTTCATTGCCTCTGTAGTCGAGCAGCAGCTCCGGGACAAACAGGGGGTCGAGCGGAGGGAAGTCCACTGCGGGCAGCCCTGTAGACAAGGAGTCGGTGTAACAGTGGCCACTCGAAACAGCCGCTGCATGCAACACGGCGGTAACCGGATGAACTGCGCAGGCGCACTACATTTTGTAACACATTCTAGCCGGACACTCCATATGGAGATGTACACGCGGTTCGGTGCGCAACTCTCTGAATGCCTGTTCCTCACAAAGGCTGTAGAGAGAAAGAAAACATTCGCTTCGTGTCCAGCGCGGTGTTCCAGGTAATGATATTATGCTGTGTCGAGAACTGCTGGACTGAATTTGATCAAATCATGTATCTGAGCCCGTTGGACAAATTTGTCGAGTCCTCTCAATTTCCTACCAGTCGACGCAACAAAATCTGTGCTTCGCCATAGTATCTAAATGGCGGTTCAAAACTAGAGCCAGTATCAGAGTGCCACAATTGTTACAATTCCTAACTTGTTTATTGTTAGACTTACCATCGCTCAATACAGCCACTCCCTTCTGGAGATTGCGCTTAGCACAGGCCTCAAAGTCAGGACTGCTGGTGGGGCAGGGCTCGAAAACTTGAGCTGAAACAGATGAAGTGCTGTAAGGGCGAGGGCAACGCAACCGCAACTTCCGAGAATTGTTATCAGACTGAGTTTAACACGTGGAACTTATTGGAGCAGCACAAACTAAGGAAACGGCAACGCGATTGCAACGGAACTCGTGGAAGACTGAGACAATCGACTTCCAGGCAACTGAGCAATCCAGACCTCTCGCAGTTGCGTTGCCACGTAGTTTCCTAGTGTTAGCTGTTCTAACACCCTTCTGTGATTCGTTTGTCTCTTAATATGGCACGACAGGATGACGAAGCTGCAGGTAACTGAGCAAGAGCCCGGTGTATATGGCAAACGCCACCCAGACTGTGCTAGGCAGGACAAAATAGATTTGGCTGGGGAAAGAATTTCTCATGAGACTTGGGAGTCTGGATCCTGGTTAAGTTCTTTCGAAACTGTCACGGAAGAACGGGTGCAATGCGCGTTCATTTTGTTGCCTAGGAACCGTGGCGAACACGGTGCTCACGAACTTTCGCGTTCCCGCAAAAGGCGTCGAATTTATCGACAAGCTGAGCAACTGTCAGGTCTTCAAGAAGGACTCTACTCCATGACGTTAGCTTAAGAACAGGTAACCAAGGCAACTCTTGCACAGGTAACTGCATTATTACTGGATGACCTCAAGTGGACGGTTTGGCGGTGTACTTTCCTGCCTTCTATGGAACTTGAACTTCCAGTGCTGTCAATATTTATGAAGAGTTATGTACTCTGGGATGTATCGCCGTGTAGTCCGATGAAAGACAAGGTATCGGAGGAAAATTTCGCCTCCATCTTCAGGATAGAATAATAAGTCAAGTAAGAGACCTGGGCGAAATATCTTGAAAGTACAGCTAACTACACGGCATCACAACACCGGTGTGAGAACCTAAAATCTTACATGTGTCCTGGGACGTGATGCCGTGTAGTCTGATAAATGTGTGAGTGGGGTTCTTCACAACAGCCTGCTGCACTGCTGATGCGTGTGTTTCGCCATTCTTTGGGCCAGATGTTACGACTGATTTCTTCAGAACTTCGAAAGTGAAACCATGAACGCTATTTTAGGGATGATGGGGAAATTCGCTGGCCTCTTTCACTCTGCAGTAGCAACCGGAGTGTCGTAATTCCGACCCCTGCGGCTGCATAACTGTTGCTCTGCCAGCAGATCGTCGCTCCCTGCCTTTGCTTGGTACCATTCTCTATGCATTCTCCGTCCCTCTCACGCATGCTGTGCGTCCTGCCCATCTCGTCCTCTTGCTTGTTTGTTCAGATGACGCATAAGTAACGTTGATATGGTGACTTTTTCAACTTGTAAGATTTGAGGTTTTCACGGGGGTGACTATGAAGAATGCCGTCTTCTGAGAAGTGGTGCCGTGCAGATTTGTGTAAACCGACGTTTCGGAAGAAAGTACCGTTTCCATCTTCAGGGTAGAGAAATCCGCGAGCGAGAAAGCAGCGTGAGCAGGCGGCTGGAGACTGCCACTGCAGCCACTGCTCACGCTGCTTTCTCGCCCGCGGCACAATCGCAGTACGAATACCATCACCACAAGAAATGTGTAAACAAAATGAAGGACTCAAACATGCCAGCAATTTTCACTCACAGCGGATGTTGTAACCGTGATCCCAACCGAGCCGCAGTTCTCTGCAAGTCACACGCCTTCCTCTCGTCTAGCCCATCCACATGAACGAAGTAACTGAACAGAATAACGCCCTGAAATTGCGGAATTTCCGGTTACTGCAGCGGCCAATTGTCGAGCGTTAGCACGTTGCATAACCGTCAGCTGCGTTTCTATTCTGTGAGAAGTGACCATATTTTCACGTGGATATGTGCGTATAACTGAGACTGTTTGCGATCCACAATTAGTTCGTGTTATTCGTTGAAGATGGCGTTAAAAATACGCTTCAAACCGTACCGTTCGATAACGGGAGAAAGTAGTGAAAGTCAATGGCACGAGAAAATTTTACGGAAAATCATGGGGCTTCCCTTTCAACTCTTAACTGGGTTTGCTCTCTAACTTACTTCATGGAGCTGAGCAATCCTTGACAAGCCGCCGGCTGACCATCTACTCAAGGACTTCCCAGCATTTTATGTAACCGGAAGGTTCATTACCGTGGTCACAAGAGCCCTTCACTGGTCCCTATCTTGATCCGTCCAAGTCGGAGGCCCTTTGTGCCATTCGTAACAAACTTATTCTGTGAGGAGTCACTAGTCCCACGCCCAACCCCCCGCTGAAGTATCACCCCTTGTTAGTTGTCCCGCGACTGCTTATTCAATATATTCGCAGCCACCCTTTACATCTGGAGGCCATCTTCTCCATCCGCAACCTGAGGACGCGCCATGTCGTGGTCCCCCCCCCCACAAATAACGTGGGTTTAGTAGATATTAAACAGAGCTTTCCTGTTCTCTACCGCGGCTCCAATTCAGAACATCCAAAAATGTTACAAAATTTATTCCACCAGGCAGGTTAATATAGCGGTAACGCTCTAGAATTGTATTCGTGAGGTGCTGGGTTCAAATTTCGGCTGAAAAACTGGCTGTCATGATTTCTGGTGTTAGTGGTCTTCCTCAGTCCCTCCTAGCAATTGCGGGATAGTGTTTCGATTAGGCAACGACCTGTCTCTTCCAAATCCCTTCTACATACTGAAGCATCGTGAAGTGTACATTGCATAGCGCATGGAGCAAAATGTTCCTGCGAAACGTCGGTACAAGATCAGCTGTGACCAGAGGTTTAAGAAGGTCACTTTCAAATTGTGCCGCTGCTCGCCTGGGCACCGCACCCCTCGCTGGCCCAGTTACATGTATTCCTCGTGGCCCTGTCACCTGTCGTAACTTTTGACTCCATTTCGAAGTTGCTTCACCGCTGTTCCGATTTTGCGACGTGATGTGTGACCACACAGCTAACCGGCGCACTGCAACACAGCATTAAACTGCGCCAAAGTTCTGAATTTGCTGTCCTCGTGGCATATATAATGACACTGTGAGTAGTTGAGGCTGTGTTGCATCAGATGACTGGATGACTAATGAACTGGACAGGGCTTGGAAGGAGGCAGTCAGCACCCAGTCTTCCCGGGGGTAAAGGGAGGCCGGACGGCGTGTAAGGCTGACAACCTCATCACCCTCTGTGTAGCCAGTTGTCTAGATAATGTGGGAGCCTCGACGCCTCACAACCCTGTGGGCCTCCACGGTCTGTTACAGAGATATTTTCACGTTACTTTAACATATTTTGGCATGTAGACCCGTCACTAGGCAGCGGCCCGTAAACAACAGCAAAGGAATACATCACGTCATCGCTAAGCAGCAATTGCACTACAACAGAGGAACGATGATTTCTTCGCGGTCCGTGCCGAGCGAAGCAGGACAAGTTCATAGGCTGCTCAAAGTCATAGCATTGAAAGCAAATTGTATTTGAAGGCAACGCTATGAGCTCAGTAAACAGCTGCAAGACTTACGTATAGATGTGGCTATGAGCTCAGTAAACAGCTGCAAGACTTACGTATAGATGTGTCCATGAGCTCAGTAAACAGCTGCAAGTCTTACGTATAGATGTGGCTATGAGCGCAGTAAAAAGCTGCAAGACTTACATAGAGATGTGGCTATGAGCTTAGTAAACATCTGCAAGACTTACATATAGATGTGGCTATGAGCTCAGCAAACAGCTGCAAGTCTTACATATAGATGTGGCTATGAGCTCAGTAAACAGCTGCAAGACTTACATATAGATGTGGCTAT